CGTATCCTTTTTTTCTTCCAAGACAATAGGCAAGACCTGACCTTCTGACTCCACAATTATTTTTTTTGACTCCACTGTACACCACCGATTCTCTCACTCTCTTCGGTACGGTTTGTTTTTGAGAGATGGAAGAAGAATTGGAATTGAGATAGGAGTAGCACCTATCAATATTAGTGTTTATTTTGGAATAGAATAATACTATGGGTTGATTTGGGAAGCCGGTTAGTTTTTTTATTTTTTGATTTTTTTAGTTATTTTAGCTTGGGTTAAAAAGTTTGGTTTGGGAAGGATTTTTTGACTTTTTGACTTTTTTTGTGAGAGAAGAGTATAATGATTATGAGTTGGATGTGATGTTTTGTTTGTTGTGACTAAAATAGCTTATTTTGTTTTTTGTGACTATTTTAGCCAAAAAAACCCAAAAAATCTCTTCCCAAACAAGCCCATATGTATTAGAGCATTTTCTTTATTATTACTATAATTTGATAATGAATAATATTATTTTGTCAAATTATAATAATGGTGCTCTAATGGTCACTTGCTATTTTGACAATTCTCAATCAATTTTTCCTCCTAATATGTAGGTGTTGTTTAAATATAAGTTTTTTTTGTGATTTTATTTTTATTTATTTATTGTCTTTTATAACCTTTTTTTAACTATTTGTAAAAAAAATTATATATTTATATTATTCCCGACTAGACAAATATAAACAATGAAAAAAATTTGAAAAACTAGAAAAAAAATTAAATATAATTCAATTTGAAAAATTACTTAGTTTTTTACTATTTCAATTCTTTTTTTTCAACTGAATTTGGAGCCACAAATATGTTCATTTTTGCTGATATGACACGTTTGGCAGTTGCTATTTTACTTGCCAAATTTGAGAACAGATATGGCATATGGCATATGCCGTCTTTGGCAAGTAAAATAACAAGCCATTTGAGATCCACTTTTTATCACTATTGCTAAATTATAGCTTTCGCAAGTGTTTTGAGAGCTCCATTGGAAATGCTCTTAATTAATGTATATATTATTGTATTAACAAATGATGTGGTATCATTTGTATAGTTTTGAGTATTTGTAACTTGTATAATAAATGTGGTCAATAATAATATCATAATATTAGTTGGTACATTATCTTTGTTTAATGTTTTTATATTTTTTATTTGTAACAATCCCAACACTAACAACTATTATCAAAATAAATACAATTTTACTTAATTCTCTCACTATCAATTCTCTCACAAACAATTTTCTTACTATTAATTTTCTCACTATCAATCTCTTTCCTTCTATCTCTCAAAATAAACAAACCCCCAGTGGTCAAAGTTCCTTCTCCAGCAAATATTGTGAAGGCCATCTCCGGCAAATAAGACTTTGCTATTTTCATAGGAGATGATTATGGCCTTATTGTTTCCATCAGTGATGAATATGATTATGCAACTCTTATCTTTACAACGTTTTTTTAGGTATGTATTTGAAAACCAACAAGCAAGAATCTTCCAATAACCTTTGCAATTTTTCAAACCTCTCTATCTTTGTAATATATTTTTATATTTTCAAATCTATATGATGAATGTTTTTTTTTTTCCTTCAAATTTGTTGTTGATCTTTGGGATCATGCCAAAGTCAGATCTGCAATTGTGAGCATAGTTATTTTTTCTTTTTTGGCTCGTCAGAAGTAGTTTGGTTTGTCCCATCCGACCACCAAATTGATCAAACCGTGTTAAGCGATTTCGAGCCATACATTAGTCGGAAACAGATGAGTTTTTTTTCCAATTTGAGCTGGTTGAGTCGGGTGACGGATTGTTGATAAAACTGAGCCTACCGAACCCGTGCACACCCTAGCCCCAGAAGCACAAAATATTTTAAATTTTTAAAAATTTTATCTTTTAATTTTAAATATATATTTTTTATTTTTTTAAAATTTTAAAATTTTTTGAATCGTATATATATATATATATATCTAAATTATAACAAATTATTTGGCCAATATTTTAAAAAATAACATAATATTTTGTTTGGAGAAATAAATAAAAAAACAAAAAATAATTTTAAAGAACAAAATAAAAAAATTTTGAATTTTTTTTTAATAGAGTTTTGAAAACTTGTTTGGTTATAATTTTTTTTTAAAGTAGTTTGAAATTTTTGTTTGGTTATAAGTTTTGAATTTTTTTTTTATCCAAATCATGATTTTAAAAGCAAATCAAACGCTACTTAAATTTTGAGTAAATTGGTGATAAATACAATTTAAGAAGTGTATAAGGTATTATGTCCAGTGAATATTTTTTATTGGTGAGAGTTTCATTTTTTGTGAAATAATTTAGTGAAAAGTTCATTCATTAATTTTGGAAGACAATTTGTTTCTAATTTTAGAAGACCAAACATTATGTTTTCAAATTTCCCCTCATTTTTACATTAAGAACGATAAAAACACAAACTGTTAATGAAAATCAGAAAAAAAAATTAAAAATTAAAAATTAAAAATAAAAATAATATTAAAAGGACTAGTACTTTATGCATTTCGATTACGTTTGTATGTCACAAGAAATTTACTACCTGCATGCATTAATGGTAATAACAAATTAACCCTTCTTTCTTATTTGCATGCATTTTGAAAATTAATTCCATTTATGAATTTATTTAAAATATCAAATTTGATTGAATCTATCCCTACGTGCCATTAAGAAAGAGAAATCGACACCCACCGACACCCACCCACATGCAATGCAATTTAGTTCATTCCACCTTCCCCCACCCACTCGGCAAACAACGTAGCCCTCACATGCCTCATGATGAACCAGCATGGATGACGCCAAAACCCATACTCAAATGGAGAGTTGTTGTGCATATTATAAAATTTAGAGTTAATTATTTAAAAGTCCTATTTAGAAATGTTATAGTAATTTAGGTTCTATTTAAGATTTTTTTAATTAATAAATCTTATCAATTTTTTTACAAAAATTTTAAAATTAAGAATATTTTCAATTTTACATAGTAATAGTCTAGATAATTGTTTTACTGATTGAAGAAAAAAATTGAGCATAAGATTAAAAATGTTTTTATCCTTCTATTTATTGGTTTGATTCAACTTTTTAATAAAATCGAGAAGATTATCAATTTTTTTTTTCAGTTTTAAAACTGAGAATATTATCAGTTTTTTTATTTTTAAAGTTTTTTTTAAATTTTTTTTTTTTGCATATCAATGTTCTATTATTATACTCATTTATAGACACAAAATTTTTAGTTTTACACAAAAAAAATAATTCAATTTTTTTTAATTTTTCAAAAAAAAATCAGTGCTTCTGAATTCAATTTTCTGAAAATTAAGTTTTTTTATTTTTTATTATTTTTAGTAAATATTTTTTAAATATTAAGCATTTTTTTTTTTTACTTTCTTAGATGTACCTTACTTAGATGTATTTAAATAGCAAATTATTTGTGAAAAAATATTTTAAAAAATTAATAAATACAAAAAAAAATGTACAAAATTTTCATATTTTTTATATTTAGTGAATTTTTTAAAGATGTTTTTCACAAATGTTATATTTTCTAAGTGTATTTATGTTAGGCGTGTCTAAAAATTAAAAAAAAAATGCTTAAAATATTAAAAAAAATTAGTGAAAAAAAATACAAAAAACGAACAAGTAATATTTTCTAAAAAGTGAATTCTGAAAACTTGAAACAAGCATTAGTTTTTTTGCACATAATTTTTGTCAATTTGAAAGTTGATATTTTCAAGTTTTAAAAATCAAAATAAATGTCAAATCATCAGATTCTTTTATAAATAATTATAAATGATGAATAATCATTGTTGAAAGGCAATTTCGAGTATCATAAATTTAATAGGACTTGAAAGTTTAAAAAATTTTAATTGAGATTTAATAGAATATAAATTTATAAATTAAAACTTGCATATAATGCCCTTAAAATTTACTATTAGTGGTGACGTGATGTTGTGCAAAAAACAAAGGGGTTGGCCTTCCTAATTGTCACCTATTTGTGGTGCACATGTAAATGCACACAACATTTCAAGACAATTAATTTGCCAGAGTGAGCATTAGTGGCCACATCTTCCACACCTCGTATATCTTGCCAGCCATCAAGTTGTAATAAGAATTAAGTTCTAGATTTGTGATTTGAAATTTTATTTCCACTCTCTTCTTGTTTGGGTATGCAACATGATCACCATTGATGGTAGGGTTTACTCAGCCATGGATTGGCTATCTTGGGTGAGAAGCAATAATGGTGTTGAGGGACTGAGTTGTGCACAAGTGTTTGTAGTTCTGCTACTCATTGTTGATTTTGATCCCAAGAAGAGAGTACCGGTAGTAGTGGCATAGAAAAGAAAATTAGAGAAGAAATTAAGAGTCAAATTGATTTATTTCAATTTCATTCCAAATTACAATGGGTTTATATGTACATTTTTAAATGTTATGGAGATGTGTTTTCGTAGTTAACCATAAGGAGGTAAAGTATAATTAACCTAATATAATTCAAAGACAACCAGTGCGTAGCAGCAGGGATAAAAAACACTTGTGTCAAGTAAAGGTCGCAAATTCAAACCTGAAAACTGTGAATCTATCCAATTAAACTCATTTAAAATCTATTTAAAACCCTTCCAAATCCGTAACGTGTTTAAATGAGTTGCATCTTTGCAAAACCAATTAAAATTAAGTTTAATTGAATTGGACATGAGTAAACTGTTTAAACTCATCTCCTTCTCCTCCACCACCACCACCACCCCTCTGGCATCATCGCCGCTGCCTCCTCCACTATCTATTGCCAAAAAATTTCTTAAAAGTAAACAAGTTAGTTTGGTTAATATGTCCAATCTATATTCAATCAAACTCAACCCTCTTAACCTCGTTTATTCAATAAATGATTTTAGATTGGTTGGTTTAGAAACGCACATCACATTTTGACCTACCCGTTTGCAACCTCTATTCACCTAATGAGCCAAAAAAGTTAAAACATGAAATGCACTGGTTCAAGACAACAGTGATCATCAAACAAAATTTTCTACTGAAAATTAATCGGTGTTGAAGTACAATGAAAGTTACCGAAAGATTAAATTCTGAAACTAAGATTAACATCAAAACCAAAATGCTCGACAAAAATCCATGCAACTGTAGGTCAAGTGGATAAATCTTGGAAGCCTAGCAAAAAAATAAAAATAAAAGACGAAGGAGAAGAAAAGGAACAAATTTCCAAATCCAAAGTAACAGAATCTTGAAAATATATTTAGCCAACTATTCTGCTTTGACATGCCGCTGCTCACTGCATTGTAGTACAAAACAGAAAGATGCCACCATTCCAACCATATACCCGGCCATAGCTCCATAACTCACGCAAATAGGCCATTCCTATTAACAAAATACAATTGGTCAAGGAATCAGAATATAATGGTAATAACCCAATGCTAGTTTGAACCAAGGAAAGGAAGAGAACCAAATAGCTGCTGAGTTGAGCAATATTTAAAAAAAAGCATAAACCAAAAAGGAGGCTAATGATGTTATTATATAACAAGAATATTGCATTTGATTCTTTATTTCATTTTAACAATTGGCAGAAAGAAATATATGTTTGAGCTTTATCGAGTGCACATGAGCTAAATTTACCCACATGATGTCGCAGGGGGTTGGACGCAGCAACTCACCAAATTATTATTATTATTATTTTTTGATAAATTCAGCAACTCACCAAATTATCACTCAAGCTAACCTAAAAAGGGTAATTACCAAAAGAAGACGAAGAAGAAGAAAAAGGAAGAAGAGGAAGAAGAAACGGTTTACATCAAATGCATCACATGCCACTTGTTGGAATAATTTTTCAGTCTTCTCTTTTAATGAGTAGAATAGTTTTATTCCATTTCAAAATACAAGATAACATTTGGGGACAACTCACTTGAGGGTTCTCAGGGATCTTGGAATAGTACAATTAACGTGGGCCACCTAACATAGAGACATAAACTACAATTACAAATGTGTATTTGGTGACCTAGTAGTAAGGGTAATGACAGTGTGGCAGCATAGCTTAGGCAGCATGCACCAACATACCCAAACAGTGGGCTATCAGGTTCTGCAATAATTTTTAAACCTAAATTCCAAAAGAATCATTCAACTAATTCAAAAACTTAAATTTGAGTTTCCACTAGGTCAATGTTGTGAAAAGCGTGCCTAGGCGCAAGGCGAAGTGAAGCGCACTGTTTGCGCCTGGACAGGTCCCAGGCGAGGCGACTTGAGTTAGGTGCACGACTTAGACGCGATTTGAACCAGGCGGCAGAGGCGCAAGGCGCATGACTAGGCGCGCTTGATTTTCTAACAGCTAGATCTGATATAACAGCTGCACTTGAACCCTAATCTGTGTCATCTCTTCCTCTCTCGCCTCGCCTTGGATTTCGACTTCGACTGGGCTGCTCGACTTCTTCTTCGACTTCGCAGGTATGCTTCGCCATCTTCTTCTTTTGGTCTTCTTCGACTTCTTCTTCTGTTCTGTTTTTTTTTTTTTTGTTGGCTTCAACTTCGACCGACTCTCTCTCTCTTTCTCTCTCCTTTTCTTCTTCTTCTTTTGGTTGTTCGACTTCTCTGTTTTGCCCCTTCTTTTTTCTTTTTCTTTTTTTTTTTTCTTTTTTTTTTTTCAATTATGCCTTTGAGTCCGTTAGAAACAAAAAATAAAAAATACAAATACAAAATAATGAACTAAAAAAAAATAGACTAAAAAAAATAGATTTTGATTCTGATTCTGATTAATTAACTAAAAAAAATACACTGAAAAAAAATTACAAATAAATAATTATTCACAAATAATTAATTAATACAATGTACTACTAGTCTTTTTTTTTCCTTTATCTGTTAGGAGAAAAAAATAGATTCTGATTCTGATTAATTAACCAAAAAAAATACACTAAATTTTTTTTACAAATAATTAATTATTCACAAATAATTAATTATTCACAAATATTCACAAAAAAATTTACAAATAATTAATTATTCACAAAATATTAATATTTGTTGGATAATTATGTTTCGGATGTTTAGTTTTTATGTTTTTGTTTTTGTTTTTATTTTTATTTTGTTGAATGTGGATTATTTTATCTTTGAAAATTGGAATGTTATGTGATATGTACTTTCATGACTTTGAGAATTATTTTATATTTTGTCTTGAATCTTGATTACTTTTTATTTTTAAACAAATTGTCTAGTACTATAAATGATTAGTCTATGTTAATTTTTTTATTTTTTACTAAGATTGCGCCTTACTTCAATAAAGCCTGCGTCTCGCCTTGAGCCTTGCGCCTAGGCCCCGAGAGACCTCCAGCGTCTTAGTGCACCTTGAGCCTTTAAAAACACTGCACTAGATGATACACAAGTAACTTTATCACATTGTGTTAAGTTGATCAAGCTTTTACAATTGCACCAGCCCGAGTAACAGCTTCTTAATACAGAAATAAATAGATCCAATGAAAATAGCTCACCTAAACTGATATCGATGAGATTTAAAATTAGGAGATGCTTGCAGAAAAGGTGCTCCCAAAGCAATAGCTCCAAGCGCATTCACTACTGCCCCTGCAGGTTTAAACATAACTTGTGCTAAGCACCCTTTCACATAAAGAACACATAAACTGAACAAACAATCTAAGTCCAAAGAGATTTTAAAATTTAGCATCAAAGATATCTGTCACAGCTCCAACAACTCAACTAATGTCTCAACTGACAAAAAAATTGTTCGTCAAGTCTCTTCACTTGCATTAAATACAGAGGATCACTTCACACAAAACCTTCACTTATCTTAGACACATATTATCACTTCTCCCATATAAATTGTAATTGTAGATTCTCATCTAAACAAACAGTGTCTTTGCAACTAATGCTGTTAACTCCATTGTTTTGTTCTATGTTGCATGGACTGAGGTACGTGCAAGGTTCTGAAAAACGGTTGCGGTCGCCGTAACGGTAGCGGTGGCACGGTTGCGGTTGCGGGGTGTAAAGGCCGTAGTGTAACGGTTGTGGTAACCGGAATCGTGAATTTTTTTATTTATCACACAATTTTAAAAAACTTACCGATACGCATATTTTTTTTCCATGATCATATTTATTGGGTTAAAAATAAATATTGATCAATTTTTGTAAATTTTTAAGCATGATCTAATATATTTCATACTTTTAAATCACTATAAACTGAGTTTTTTACATTTTATTTTAATAATTATTGACTTTATATTATAAAAAAAATCAATCACTAACTATTATATATAAGATAAATAATGACAAAAGTAAGAGAATAAATAAGAGCCTAAATATATATATATACATATTTTAACCAAGCCAAATAGATAATGACCACACTTATTATTATTATTATTATTATTTTCAAACAATATATAGATAGACACACATAAATAAAATGGTTGAGTGATAGCAGCTGAAGAGAATAGCATAGGTCTTACAACTTCAACAAATCAATAACATGTTCTTCGTCTTCCCTTTTCTCTCTATCTCTTACTCCTCCATTTTCTCTCTTTATCTTTCCTCTTCTTTCTATCCCTCTTCTCCTATTTTCAGCTTTTTTTTGTATGTTTTTTCGAAAGAAACAGTTTGGATCCGTTACGGAACGGTATGTAATATGTCGTTACGGCTGTTACGGCACCATTACGACCGTTACGGTAGCCGCTACGGCCAACACACCTGTGAATCTCAATCACACTGCAAAAGCGGCCGTAACGGGTAGCGGTAACCGCCAAAACCGTTACGTAACGGCGTTACGTAACGGTTGCGGCCACTTTTTAAAACCTTGGGTGCGGGTGTATATCCAAGCATCAGACCTTCATAAATTTTAATCTTAGGATCTTAGGATGTATATCCAAAATTGGATATGGTATGGGTAGGGGGAAGCGTCATATATACATATATATTGCATATTATATAATATTCTCGGGTGAGATATTGCAAATTATCTAGAAATATACTAGAAATTAAATAGATTATACTAGAAATTAAATAGGAGTCAAGAAAATATGCACCTGTCGGCCATCAACGACAAAAGAGTTGTTTTGTTTATTGGAAAGGACGAGGCAAAATCATATTCCTTCTAACCCCCACTATGACTTCAGTTTTCAAAAACAATATAACAGAAACACATTCGATGGACCCCTCATTTCACATACTTAACACCAACAGGTGCTCCCAAAGCAATAGCTCCAAGCGCATTCACTACTGCCCCTGCAGGTTTAAACATAACTTGTGCTAAGCACCCTTTCACATAAAGAACACATAAACTGAACAAACAATCTAAGTCCAAAGAGATTTTAAAATTTAGCATCAAAGATATCTGTCACAGCTCCAACAACTCAACTAATGTCTCAACTGACAAAACAAATTGTTCGTCAAGTCTCTTCACTTGCATTAAATACAGAGGATCACTTCACACAATCCCTTCACTTATCTTAGACACATATTATCACTTCTCCCATATAAATTGTAATTGTAGATTCTCATCTAAACAAACAGTGTCTTTGCAACTAATGCTGCTAACTCCATTGTTTTGTTCTATGTTGCATGGACTGAGGTACGTGTATCGGGTGCGGGTGTATATCCAAGCATCAGGCCTTCATAAATTTTAATCTTAGGATCTTAGGATGTATATCCAAAATTGGATATGGTATGGGTAGGGGGAAGCGTCATATATATACATATATATTGCATATTATAAAATATTCTCGGGTGAGATATTGCAAATTATCTAGAAATATACTAGAAATTAAATAGATTATACTAGAAATTAAATAGGAGTCAAGAAAAATATAAAATTTCTATATCTAATTAATATGAGAGGTTAAAAATATTGTTTTACTAGCAAATGTAAGTATTTTTTTTCTTCATACATTGTAACAAATTAAAGGATTCCAATGTCTAAATTGAGTACGAGTGTTGGACACATATCTCACACCCTTGTCCATGTCATATCCGATGGACACGGGTACGCTGGGGAAATAGAGTAGTCCACATAACACAGGTTTTGTTAGTTTTCATCTGATACATAGAAAGAAAACATGTATTCCCCGTTCCATTTTGCTGATATGTATATATATATTTTTTATAACAAACAATAAATACATGAGAAAGGCTATGGGTAACCCCTTAAAGGTTGCATAGCATATGCCGCTTTGTAATTACACTACAATGATTCATAACAAGACCACAATGGCTCATAACTTTTCTCACCAACACTTTTTATAATGATTCGTAATTAACACCACTTAATCACTACAATTCCTAATTAACACCACAAAAATAGTAACTTTTTGTGTAGCATAACCTTTCCCTAAATGTATAAACATATTTGCATTCACAGGTATATGTCAATACACATTACATATACTCTTATACATATACATATAGCAAATTACAGCCAAAATTTAAAAGACTAACCAGCAGGAAGCCCCAATAATCCTCGTCCTACAGCTTTCCAATACTGTCAGGTTACTAAAACATTGATAAATTATACCAAAACATACAAAAATTCAATAAAAAGGAGCAAAACAAAGAAATTGATAAGATTACCGAGCATTCCTTTGGATTTTTCCGGAAAATACTGAAAAGCAGAATCACAATCGGAGCCTCAATAATCTGAAATTTTCACCCAAAAAACAGAATTCTGATACTGAAATGTATTTGGAATCAGTATAAGAAAAGTGTGAAAATACCCAGATCAGACGGAGGGTTTGAGAAGGATCTGAAATGAGATTGGTGGAGTAGACTTTGTGGGCTATCCATAGTGCTGACGCAAGCCCTAATCCGCATATCAGATGCACCAGAAAGGCCTGCCATGGTGACGGTGACGGTGATGGTGATGGTGATGGTGATGGTGATGGTGATGGTGATGATACTGTGTCGTTTCCTTCGCCGGGTTGATTCTTCTTTCTCTTCTTCTCCATGAGTGAGTTCTCTGTTTTGATCGAGCAATTGGTCGTGATTGCGACTACTACTGTGTAAATAAGTATTTTGCCACAAAACTTCCTGGAATATCAAATAGCACCAATATTTTATTTCTAATCTGTAAATTCCTCCTCAGGCACATTAATATAAAAAATTACATCGAACGCCCTTGAAAGGTTTAGAATGTTAATCCCATCCCTAGCCAAATTTTTATTTTATTTTATTATTTTTTCAGTATATATTACCCATTTAAGAACATCAATCCTTAATATCCTCCGATATTATATTAAAGATAAGATGAAAAATAGGGGAGATGACGACAATGGACAACAATAGTTATTAGTGTATGGAATAAGTTTGTATTTTTAGATCATGAATGAAGTAGAGATGACAAAAAGTGACTGATAGGGATATATTTATATGGGTAAAAGTAGTTATGATTGGTAATGGAAGGTATCAACTGATGAAAATTAAAAGTATCAGATAGTGTGGTGAATAAAGATTCGTATGGTAGTAATTGACTAGAAAAATTGAATAGTACTAAGTAATTGTGGTAGCAAAGGTTGATTGTTTTGACAATAGCTATGAAAGATGTAATTATGCGAGCGATTGTTGATTGTGATTAAGAATGAGAATTGTATGGTAGTAGATGGCACACACCTTTTTACTTCTTTTTTTTGTGTAAGAAAATTTTAAGGTGAAAACATACATGTCTATATGTTTATGACATCTTATTGTTTAGTAGAGAAAAGGAATGAGAACTGAAAGAGGGAAAAAAATAAGGAAAAAGAAAAAGGTAAAAGTAAACAAAAGATTTTCTTTGTAACACCCTCAAAATATTGACATCTGATAAATCTAAATTAACTCATATACATAGTCTAAACCCCATTACTTACAATTATTTACATACATAAACATTGAATATTATAGGCATTTCAATGATCTATATTCAAACTAAATTCTCATCTTTTCCTTAGTAATATTCAACATGAGATTTAACAAAAAGTGACTACATGCATTAATATTCTCATCATTCCTAAAATATGAATCTATAGCATGTGATAGTAATAAGTCAAAACAATCTAAATATAAATTAATGCCTTAATTGCTACAGGTTCTAAGGTTTCGCCCGGTTACAACGAAATAGTCTTTAAAACCATACATAAATAGCCATTGGCTTGCAAAACCAAAACAAATAAACAACCAAGCCTTGCGCTCCAAAAAGATCCTTTACGCGTGCACTTCTGCAAAGGCACACCATAATCACCTGAAAAATGGTTTCCACTAAGGAACGATCATAAGGTCCAATGGAGATAATCTAAATAAAGTGCATGCAATTTAACAATATCATGATGTGCAATGCATATGAGATACCAATGCAAAAAATCACAGGTTTTCTCATTTTGAAATTCTCATGTTATGCATTTTGAAATTCTCAATTCAATCATCCATTTGATAAAACAATGAACGGTAAATACGACACTAATAATCCCTAGGCTAGGCTAGTGTCCGCAAGTAGGCTCTCAAAACACTACCAAAAACACTTTACCGGCTCCTAACTGGAAGACACGTGGTACCTACTCCACACGTGTTTTAGGTCTTTCACTATGGATACTCCGACCAACTTAATTCTCAAACTACACTTCCTACCAGATTTCTCCAAGTATTTACCACATTCTCAACACATTTTCAAATATTCCCAATGAATCAATTTTAAAAATCAATTTCTTAAATCCAATGCGAGAATTAAATAATGAGATTAAGCAATATTCAATGTTATGCATGAATTTGTAAATATTTCAATTTACCTAATTCACATGCAATTTCTACAACGATCAATACAACTCTCCACTAACTGCCAAATAATTATCTCTATACAAAATATAAATTTCAAGAGACAAATATAACTCATAATCTCATATCTTCAATAATTTAAACATATGAGCAACAATCACATGTTCAATCTCTTATTTCCCAACTCAATCAAGAATCATAATATTCTTTCGAAAATTTCATCAATTTTTCCTTTTTATTCAAACTCAAGAATTCACCAAGAATTTTCATAATGGTGAAAACATATGTTTCTTTCAACTTTTCTCAATATCTCAACATGATAAATATTTTCATCTTACTCAAGAGTTCAATATTTTCAAATTAAAAAAATTTCAAAAGGAATCTCAATGGTTTCTAATATTCTCAACAACATTCTCATCAATTTCATTCATTTGAACATCCACTTTCAAATTCTCATTTGTTCAATAAACACATGCTTTCAACACTTATAAATTTCTCAAAAGTTTAGCCAAACATCTCAATTTCAACCTTTCAAGTTCTAGGGCTTTATCAAAATTTAGGAATTTCTCATTTTAAAGATAAATTTCTCAAATATTTAAGTCCCACAACAACCACATTTAACAAGTTGAAAACTTTGGAAAATATTTGAGAAGCTTTCCCCTTTTCATACATTAAATCTATCTTTAATAAAAACCCTAATATCTTCAAGTCTTATATTATCAAAACAACACATAATAAAACTAAACACATATACAAGGTTTAGAAAATTCCTACATCAAGCCTTACAAGAGGGAAAAAACAAAGACCCAATTTTTTGACGTCGCATGATTTCGACCTCCACCCGTTGCACTACACTTTGGCCTTAAGAACTAGGTTGAGATTTGGCTCCGATGGCGCAAGATCAAAGGAATTATGTAGTTAATGTAAAAGAAAAAAACATAACCAAAGAGAGAAAGAGGAAGAGAGAGGATCGAGAGGGAGAGAGAGAGGAAGAGGTAGAGGGAGAGTCACAGTAGAGGGGAGTTGTTTTACCAAAGGAAAGACAATGAAGTTATATGAGGGGAAAAAAGAGGGGCAGTCCCACGTGACTGACTTGCCTCTCTTCAATTTAATCATTAATTGATTTTTTTAAATATAAATATCCATTATCTATATATATATATATGGGAAAATTAGTCTAAGGTCTCTCTTCCATTTTTAGTAATGGAAAAGATTCATAATATTATTTTATAATGTCTAAGGTCCCTCAACCCCACACCCATATATCATAGAGAAATTTGACTCTCTCACATCAAACCTCATTTCTCTCTCTCTACCTTTTCTATTTCATCTCTCTCTCTCTCAATCCAAACCTTACTTCACTCCCTTCAATGGCAACTGCCACCACCACCACTACAAATACCATCATTGTTAGAGTCGATTTCATCACCGTGGGAGTTGTCACCAATGTAGATCGGCTCAGATCTCTATTTCTCAATCACATGATCATCTTGGCATCGATCTATCACAAAATTCGATCCACTTCTATCCGAATTATCACCTTCTTCAATCTAATCATCATTCAAATCTACGGTGGCGTTGGATCGGTGAGAGTGGTGGCGGAGAAGGTAGCAGGGATCGATCAGTAATTTCCAGTGGAGATCCATAAATAATATCTTGCTTTTATAACTAGAAGTAGAGAAATAATTATGTGGTTCATGTATCAAGGGGCCATTTCTTACTTTTTTGCAAATACAACAGATGACTTCCTTCTGAAGACTCTTAATGTACTAAAAGAAGCTGTTGATTTTTGTTATGATAAACTCGAGGAGATTCCTTGCATTACTTGCCCATACAAAGTAGAAGGATCCATGTTTGTAATGGTTAGCATGTGGAAAAATTGCAGAAGAATCTAGATTTTCAAGTTGAAGACCCTTACAAGTTCGGTGACTGCTTCACTACAGGTTAAGCTAAACCTGTCATTGTTGGAAGGAATTAATGATGATATAGAGTTCTGCATCAAATTTGCTAAAGAGTAATCCGTGATTGTCCTGCATCAAATTTGTGAAAGGTTCCAAGGGCTTTTGATGTTAGTCTAGAGATTCAAAGAAATTTGATGTTCGTTCAGAGAAATTTGAATGTTAGTCCAGAGAAATTTGTAAAAGGTTCAAGGGTTTTTGATGTTAGTTCAGAGATCTCAAAAAATTTAAATGTTAGTCCAGAGAAATTAGTCCATAGAAATTTGAATGTTCGGCTTCGATGGGGCAATGCTATGGTAAGACCATTCATACTTCTTTTTTTTTTTTTTTATCCATTGAACATTCTACATTTGTTATGTTATTGTTTTTTGTTCAATTTTCTCTGGTCTGATCAAAAGCACAAATTTTCTTTACACAATTTTCTTTGGATAAAGCTACACAAAGTCACATAAAATTTTTTTACACAATTTTCTCTAGATAGAGCCACACAAAGCTACACAAAATTTTCTCTACACAATTTTCTCAGGATAGAGCCACACAAAGCCACACAAATTGTCTCTAACACAATTTTCTCTAGATAGAGCCACACACAATTTTCTCTAAATAGAGCCATACAAAACTACACAAATTTTCTCTAGCACAATTTTCTCTAGATAGAACCACACAGAGCCACACAAATTTTCTCTACACAATTTTCTTTGAATTTTTTTGGTACTCAGAGAACATTGGTCAAAATGGTGGTTGTTCAATTTTCTCTAGTTTGTTGTTGTCTAAATGGCTTACAGTTTGGTTTAATAAAAAAACACAGAGAAAATTATGAGCAAACCAAAGAAAATTGGTTAAAACACAGAGAAATTCTTTGAGAAATCCAAAGAAATTCAAAATTTCTTCAGAGGGAATTTCTCTGGAGAGAAAATCTATGGGAGGTCCAGAGAAATTCTTTGGGAAGTGCAAGAATTTCTTTGGAAAGAAAATCTCTGGGAAGGCTAGAGAAATTCTCTAGGTCAAATTTTCTCTGGATCGATGTTGAGGGACCTTAGACATCATTATGAAAATATTGAGTGTCCTTTATACTATAAAATCTTAATATCAAGGATCTAAAAAAAAAATCTGCTATATATATATATATATATATGTATCTGTCAATTAAAAATATATTTCAAAAAATGATAATTTTTTGTATCATAAATTACAAGATTGTATAATTTTTCTCAATATTTTGTTTGATGGTATGTACTATAAATATTTGTGACTTTCTTATGATAATAATAATAACAATAATAATAAATACATATAATTGAATCTAAAATGACTCAAGTTTAATAATTTAAAATAAATCTTCAATTGAAATTAAAGTATAATAAAATTTAAATAGATTCAAGGTGGGGTAGTTAAATAAGTCTCAAAAGTTAAATTTATATCTCATTTAATACTCAAGACCAAGAATAATTAAAACTCAAAAATTGCTAAGCGGGTCTTACGAAGTCGAAATTAAGAAGTAATCAGTGTGTTTGATTTTAATTTTTTGGAAATTGAGTTTTTGATTTTTCGTATTGTTTCTATTTTTAGTGAATAATTTTAAAATTTTAAGCAATTTTTTACTTTTTAAGATGTACTTTACTTAGGTGATCTAAATAGTAAAATATTTGTGAAAAAATATTTTAAATAATTAATAAATACACAAAAAATATGAAAACATACTAAATTTTCATATATATATACATTTTTTGTATTTTTGGTATTTAGTGAATTTTTTAAAGATTTTTTTCACAAATATTATACTTTTTAAGTGTATTTATGTTAGATGTCTCTAACAATTAAAAAAATTGCTTAAAATATTTTTAAAAAAAAATCAGTCAAAAAAAAAAATAAAAAAAAATAAAAAAGTAGAATTTTCTAAAAACCAAAACTAAACAAACTGAATATAATTTGTTTTCACCAATTTAAATAGAATGATCCATGACACCATAACTATAATAATAATAAAGGCAAAATTCAATTTGATTCAACTTGTTATATTTTTTCTTCCCTTGTATACAAGAAAGAGAAAATGAACAGAAACAAAGTCATAAAAAATGTGTAAGAAAAGGAAAAAGAAAGAAAATATATCAAATGGTAAGAGAAAAAATTTGAGTTGTCATACTGGTCTTGTTTGGGAAGTTGACTATTTCAGTAGGTTATGTTAGTTTTTGGTTATTTTAGTAAGCTAAAATTTTTATGTTTAGAAAAAAAAGTTAGATTTTTTGTAGTTAGATGTGATATTTATAAGAGAAAAAATAAAATGATTATGAGTTTGATATGACATTTTATATTAACTATTTTAGTCTATTTTATTTTATTTTATTTGTAATTTTTAGTCAAAAAATCCTCCAAACCTAACTTGTCAAACACCGCCGACCAGATAGCTACCTTGTGGTTGAGCTCCATAGTTGCCCAAATAGCCAAGCCTAAGCAATCAGTAGACCAAGTTGATGGTAAGTTCACATTGAGTGGAAACATGCTTATCATTGTTTGGAATTATGCAAATATGGGATACAATCTTAGATAAAACAAAATAGAAAGGAGCATGATGGTTAAAATATTTCAAGGATAGTTAACCAACAACTATAAGTAAGAAAACTATTACAGAAGCAAAGTACATAAATAGCAGAGTAATTTCAATCTGGTTCGATCTATCATTGGACCGCATGGGCTCCCGTTTTTTTTGGGGCTGGGGACCAAAATGTGCAATTCAGACCTAGGCCCACCCAGATTAGAGCCTATGGCCTGGGCTCGGGCTCGGGTCATAGGTTGAGGTTTAGCTGGCCTTTTTTTTTTTAAACAAAAAATAAACGACAAATATATTATATATAGATTATTTACAAAGGATAAAAAATAAAAAAATTGTAATAGAGCATTTTAGTTAAGATTAATGAGATATTTGTCACGCCCCAAGCTCCGTGACAACGCCGCACACTCATTTAAGTGAGCATGCAAGATAGGAAATATAATGCCATCTCATAACTAATTCTTTGATATTAATAAATGACTCATATAAGTTAATTTAATTACTAATCTATCCAATAAAATAATAATATTTAAAACTTGGGTTTTACAATATTTGATTATATTTTATGTGGTGGTATTTAAATTTAATTATGTATGACTAAAAAAGTATGAAATTATGTAACTTTCTTCTTTTGAAATGAATAATTATATATATATCAATGTAGGTGCTGATTTCCGACTACACTGCCAAACAAGAACTCAGCAGAAGTGTACAGGCAGAATAGATCACGCCCGAATGACTTGTCACAGAAAGATAAGAATACCGGCGGTGGTTTGTCTACTCGGGAGCACTCCGACGATCAAGTCAGTACTCAGTTATCTCTCAAAGATAGAAAATAATACTTCACTCACTAGCCAAAATACAAAAAGTGTACCTTAGACTCACGAGGGTGTCTTACTTTTATAGCCAGCACTAACCTGATTCTGTAAAAGCTTCGCTTCAACAGACTTTGGTTCAATGCTCATCTAGGACTCCCAGCCGGATAGAGAAAAACTCCGTAAGAGCTTTATCTTTATCCATACCAAGGTCCTTCCCAATTCTAGGACTTCTGTCCTTTATCCGCTTATCTTGGATTCCAATATCTCCGCAGATAACCTCGGCCTAGCCAAGATCACCTTGGCGTCATGACCTAGACACGTGGCACCTTGGCTGACACTTCGGCATCACCTTGGCCACGTGTTGCCATTCACAAAATATGTCCCCACAACTGCTCCCTAGGTTCCATTACCTTGGCATCCTGAGGTGATGAAACCTACATCATTTGTCCACATAGCACGCCGGCTAAGACTTACTCCATCCTTCATGACTGAGATTATTACACGTCGGTTTCATATGACCAAGACTCAAGAACCAAGTTCTTTGAGTTCTTTAACTGAGATCGCTTCTCTAGCTAAGATTTTTGATTTATTTAAATTAAGAACTCCAAGAGTTCTATTTGCACATAAGCTATCACACATGGTTTTCTCAACTGTTTCATCCACGCATCCTTCTGTCATTGATTCGTACTTGACACGCGCA